ACCATTTTCTCAAGGGGAACTATTTGTATCGCCTGGAGCTCAATTGTAATCCAGGAGATCTCCAGCCACCACCTGGAGGCTGGCAACCCTATGCATAGCCAACCTAGACTCCTTGGTGGCCTCCCATCCAAATACTAACTAGGGCCAACCAATGCTCCCTCTAAGCTGTGGAGTCTTGTGAGCCAAAATTCTACTTTGGGAGCTACTGGCATTAAAGTTGTGAGCGAGCCCATTTGGCTACGGCATAAATGAGTTCGCTCTGGAGCCATCCTTCCTGAGCTGAGACAAAAAATGTGTGAGCCGGAGGCTAAAAAACTGTGAGCTAGCTCACACTAACTCAGCTTAGAGGGATCACTGGGGCCAACCCCATTTAGCTTCCGATATCTGACAAGATCAGGCTAGCCTGGGTTATTCAGGGCTCACCCCACGTACTCTCTTACATTGTAGACAGGTAAGGGTCTCCCACCCCCTACATGCTGAAAATTCTCTGAGCCCCCTACTACAAGAGCTTACAGTCTGGAAATGCATCACTCCTGACGGGCCACAAAACGATGTGGATTTTTTGAAGACAATTCCATCGATCGGACTCGTGACACTTTGTGTTTCATCTCTAAGTCATTCATTTGTCAAAATCCGTGATGGGGGGGGTGGCTGTGGGGAGGAAGGCTCCCTACTGTGATCGCAGCCGTTTCGGTCCTTCTGAAATTGCTATGTGACTAGTACAGAAATAGAACACTTTGGCGCTCAGGGTGGGAATAAACAACTGCTGTTTTTCAAAAAAAAGACCGGCAGGAAAGTGCTCGAAGCCATCCCAGCATTGTTATGCAGATCATTAAAATTTCGCTTCGAAGCACACAGGGCCAATAACCAAGTTTATTAAAATATCCATGTAAGGCTGCTGTCGGGCGCTCTCCCGAGATCTTAACTGCCGCTTGCAAATGTTTTGCCACACACCCACATCTGCACAGGTGTGAAAGGAGGGGTAGGGGACCGGCTCTATCAGTGATAATCAAAGCCTCTTTTCTGAATTTTAAGCTTAATGGGGGAAAGAATTCTAGCCTTGTTATTTACAAATATGGGGGAAACTGTGCAGGCTGGAAGGATTCTACTCAGTGGCTCAGCAGGTCATCGACTTGTTCCCACCTTCTGTTGTTCTGACCAATGAGTGCAAAGGCACCCGGGCTGACTGACAAGAACCGGGCACTTAAATACATAATGTATGTTGTTTTATACATGCCTTTAAAGAACTTAACTCCGATTAGGCACCTGTATTTAAGCCCCGTCCCTCAATGTAGCTTAGTGCTAGGGTGGTCAGCTCCAGGTTGGGAAATTTGTGGACATTTGGGGTGGGAAGAGCCTGGGAATGGCAAGGCCTGAGTAGGGATGGGACTTCAGCATGGTTCCCTTCCCTCCTGGAGCCCTGCTGTTCCCAGGCTTCTCCCTCCAAGCAGCCATCTTCTCCAGGGAACTGATCTCTCCCATCTGGAGATCAGTTTTAATTCCAGGAGATCTCCAGACCCTTCCAGGAGTTTGACAACCCTACTTAGCCCCACCACCACTTCTGCCAGTCTGCAATTTATCCAGGTGGTGGAATACCAAAAACAACATCCATGACAAAAATAACAAAGAGTGCAAAAACGTTTACTGTAGTAACTCTGTAGAAATTTTTCTTCTATAATCGCTCACACGCAACGAATACTGTGCACTGAAAACAATTCGTTTCACAATATTTGCTTTATCTGAGCGTGTAGCAATCCCAATTCTTATCAGTTACTACTTATCAACTCTTGAAGGAAACATTCTTGAAGGTCTTGGGTTCTGTTATTAGAGAGTCAACACGGAATGTTTCCTTCAAGAGTTGATAAGTAGTAATTGATAAGAACTGGGATTGCTACACACTCAGATAAAGCAAATATTGTGAAATGAATTGTTTTCAGTGCACAGTATTCATTGCGTGTGAGCAATTATAGAAGTTGCAAGTGGAGGGGTGGGGAATCAAACCCAGTTCTCCCAGATTAGAGTACGCGCACTTAACCACTACACCAAACAGAAAACAACCTGCCCCTCTGGTTCTGGCCACTCACCCCACAATCTAGCCTATCATCCCAGAGAAGGATATACTCATGACATCAGGCAAACCCATCAATGGATGAATCGACTGCTTGGTTCTAGGAGGGCCGCCAGTCCTGAGAGAGGGTGGCATTTCCAAGCTCTGTAGGATTTAGGGTTGCCAACTCTGAGTTGGGAATTCCTGGAGATTTAGGAGCAGAGCATGTGGGGGGAAGAGTCTGGGGAGGAGCGGGATGTCAGCAGGGCGAAGAAGCCTTTTCTCCCGGGGGGACTGATCTCTGCTGTCTGGAGATTAGTTGTAATTCGGGGACATTTCCAGGTCCCGCCTGGAGGCAGGCAGCCCTACAGAATCCAGTCTGGTTCCCTCCCCCCCCTTTTGCTTGCTTCCCTTGCTTTCACAACAACAACAGAAGCCTCTCCAACCAACATTCTGAAAAATAAAGTGGATTCTTGGGCTGTGGTGCCTGTGGAAAGCAGCTGTCAAATCGTTAAAGAAAGGACATCCATTATGCTCTATGGAGCTGCCATGTTGTAGAACAAGAGGCATTGTCTTGAAAAGAGAAGAAGAAACGGGACATCCATTTGAAAGCCCGGCTGGCCTGCCAATCGCAGCTTCGGGGTCACCTCTGCCTGCGTGCCCGTAACTGCCTTCGCCTTCAACTCGCAAACAAAAGAGAACGAAACGGGGGCTGCAAACAGCTGGGTAGGAGAATAACAATGTAAAAAACAGCTCGTCTGTGGCAAGGTTTTAATATCTTTTGCCTTCCGGGGGGGGGAAAAGGCCACATATTTTGTTAGAATAAGGCACGGGGGTCTCCCTAGTCTCAGCTCCCATTGTGTCTTTCCAACCCCTTTCACTCTCCCCCACTCCCCACGGTACAAAAATCAAAGGTCGCTGTCGAAATCAAAGCCCCCTTTGATTCTTCCGGGATATCAAAGAGCTGTTGTGACTTTCTTTCTCGTCTCCGCTAAGGAGGATCAGGTTTTCACATTGGGATGCCTCTTCGCATTCTTTAAAGGGGGGGAGTGGAGACACGCTTTTGGCATGACGCCAAACCGTTCGGCAGCATTTTATGTATTAATAGGGCCGGCCGGAAGACCGTTGCATGTTACAGGTTCTTCCTGTGGTTCCTTGTGCATTCGTTTGGGAGGAAATGTCACTTTGTTGAAGGGGGGGGGAAGCCTCGTGTTCGCTTAAAGACTAACAGATTTATTACAGTGTAACATTTCATGGCTAAGAAACCGCTTCCTCAGATGTGTGAAGTGTGTCCTCAATTGGCAGAGGTATATAAATAGGTGGTGGTGGGGAAACATACTGAATAAGAGTGGAGCAAAAAGGCTATGAAGTGCCAGAAGTACAAGCTGAGACACTGCTATGCAAATATATACAAGAGAAGTGCAGTGACCATTCATAATATTAGTAACGGGTGAGAATACAATCATCCCAGACTTGCTAAATTAATTTCACACTTGTAGTGTGGCAGGAAATCATTATCATGAGGGAGGCCTAACTTCCTGACGAAATTTCATTCAGATGAACATGGCTACCTATCAGCAATCGGTGAGTGTTTAGTTCAGTGGAGCTTAACCACCAACATTTTGTGGAAAGGAACGGGGATACTGGGACCAGTGTTCCCTCTAAGCTGAGTTAGTGTGAGCCAGCTCACAATTTTTTAGCCTCCATCTCACACATCTTTGCCTTAGCTCAGGAAGGATGGGCTCCAGAACAAACTAATTTATGCAGCAGCCAAATCGCTCGCTCACAACTTTAATGCCAGTCGCTCACAAAGTAGAACTTTTGCTCACAAGACTCCACAGCTTAGAGGGAGCACTGGGATTATTGTGTATTAAAAGGAAGACCCTTTTACATAACCAGGATCTCTTCTTCCCCTCACCTTGCCACACACCAGGCCTGTAGCTAGGATTTTTTTTTGGGGGGGGGGGCTTTAAAATTTTTAAGGGGGCTGCCAAAGGAAAGGAGGCAGGGAGGTTAGCAGAAGCCCCAAGTGAGCCGCTTTTGCTGCAGCTGTCCGGAGGAGAGCCCCCCCAAAACTGAAAAACTGCAGGTGAGGAGAAGTGGGAGCGCACGCCTTTGAAATGTTTTTTTAAAAGTTTTCAGGAGAAATTCCCATGGGGCTGTGCCTTTAAGAAAGGGGGCGGAGCCCCAAATGGCCCCACTGTAGCTATGGGCCTGCCCCACACTATGGGATGAGTCCTCTGCTATTTCCTCTGAACAACTGGTGCTCATAAGCAGTGTTCCCTCTAAGCTGAGTGTGAGCTAGCTCACAGTTTTTTAGCCTCCAGCTCACACATTGTTGCCTTCGCTCAGGAAGGACGGCTCCAGAGCAAGCTAATTTATGCAGCAGCCCAATCGCTCGCTCACAACTTTAATGCCAGGAGCTCACCAAGTAGAATTTTTGCTCACAAGACTCCACCGCTTAGAGGGAGCATTCCTCATAAGTATATTGCTTCTGTACACGGAGGTCCCATTTAGCCATCATGCCCAATAGTGAATTACAGGACCTTGCTTCTATGAATATGCCAAATCTTCTCTTCAAACCATCTAAGCTAGTGGCCACCACTGGTTCTCACGGCAGGGAATTCCACAGCTTAATTATGAGCGGTGTACTGAGTTCCCTTCTTTTGTCGGTATCTTCTGTCCATCGACCCTGACTGGGATGGCCCCAGCTAGCCCAAACTCATCAGATCTTGGAAGCTAAGCAGGGTCAGCCCTAGCTGGTACCTGGATGGAGACCACCAAGGAAGCCCAGGGCTGCTACGCAGAGGCAGGACACAGCAAAACCACCTCTGTTAATCTCATGCCTTGAAAACCCTACAGGGTTGCCATAAGTCAGCCAACCAGTTGATGGCCCTTCCCACCACCACCATTGTCCATCAGCTACATCTGGTAATTCGCAAGTTTTCACATCATGGGTGAAGCAGAGGAAAAAGTCACTCTCTGCTTCCTCTGTTCCACCATCAGCTACATCTGGTAATCCGCAAGTTTTCACATCATGGGAGAAGCGGAGGAAAAAGTCACTCTCTGCTTCCTCTGCACCTGGAGGGCATGTCAACCTCTGGTGACTGACTGCTACTGGGGGCCTGGAGGATATTCAGAGAGGTGGCAGAATCAAGCCTGCCCCTGTCCTCCCAACTTGGTATTCCAAGGAGGTCTCCCATCCAAGTACTAACCACAGTCAACCCCACTTAGCTTCTGAGATCTGATGAGAATGAGCTTGCCTGGGCTATCCAGGGCAGGGCATTCTGTCTAACTTTTCAAACCTCTCTGATGTCACCCCGTTTTGTCATTTTGGTTCTAAATGAGGAATCCCATTTCTGCCTTTTCTCACATGGAAGATGCTCCAAACCTTTGATTGCTTCAGTCGCCCTTGCGCTGCTCTCTCTCAAGTTCTACAAGAAGCCCCAAAGAAGAGGGTCTCCTCCACGAGGGCAGCCTCTATGTGCCGTTCTCTGCTCAAGAAGCCCTGCCAGCTCAGGTCAATTGTTGCTCTCTGCAAACTGGCAAAATACGTTGTTGTTTGCTTCCTGAGACCCAGGCTCCTGAAGAGACACAATGCATGGTGGGTGAGCATCACGGGCTGACTTGCAGCATTCTGTGCTTTAAAATGCTTATAATATCGATTTCCCCCATCCCTCCTACATAATAAGTGCTTAAAAGAAATTAGATCTGCATTCCACGCACCACAGATAACGATTACAAAAAAAAATTCTCCCAAACAAGGAAATAACAATTTTTGTAATGGGAATCAAAGAAGCTGTTTTGCATTCTGAATAAACGGCACCTTAATTTTGTAGAATGGTTTCCAATTATTACCTCAGGTAAGCTAATGGCTTCAAATCACCTAGCCAATCCCTGCGGGGGTGGGTGGGGGTGGTGTTAATAATAGTATTGGATTTGTACAGCAAAGGAGATGTTATCAGACTCAAAGAAAAAGCAAGTCCTATTAATGTATATTAATTCTCTCTGCCAGTTTGAAAAACAAACTTGATTATGAGCAACAATAATTTGCATACCGATTTGCAATATAATATTTTGCAGGATGGGTGATAATACCATATTAACGATGCAATCGCTTATTAGGTTTTCTTTTTTGCAGCGATGATAATTTATATTTAAAAGGACCACTGATCCAAATGGGCCCTTAAAATTTCGGGGCACCCCCTTTTCTCCCCCTTTCGGCCCTCACCTGATCCCCTCCTCCCTTCTCCACTCGACCACCTCTTCCAGGGGCGTCTCCGTCTCCTAGCAACGCTCAAAATGGCCCCCCTCCCACAAAGCAGCGCTGGGAAATGTAGTCCACGCCCGCATAGCCGCCCCAGCGTCGCCGTCCCGCCACGGACTCCATTTCCCGAGAAGCGGCGGGCCGGCGGCGAAAGGCGGAGGCGGCGGGAGGGCCGGCGTTTACCTGAGCGAGGAGGTGAGGCGAAGCGCCGTGGCCGATGGGAGTTGTAGTTCTTGAAAGGCGCGAAGCTCCAGCGGCGCGGACGGGCCGGAGGGGGGCCTGCGGGACTACAAATCCCAGAGAGGCGCGGGAGGGAGCGGGGCAGGGCGCCGCCTCAGGGCGGGGGGTACAAAAGGGAGCCGGCTGCTGTCGGATGTCGGTAGCGCCTGCTTAGTTCCCTTCCTCAGGTGAGGGCGGGAGGGGGGCGGGGAGGGGAGGGGGGGGGTGCCCCCCGGGGGGGGGGGGGGGGGAAGAGAGGAAACAGCCATGCTCTCCAAGGGGGAGGGGATTTATATGAGAGGGGGGAGGAGTTACTTGAGCTCTCATATTTGGGGAAATCTTGTGGGGGGGTTATTTGGGGCAGCTCAAATATTTATATTTTGGGGGATCTTGTGGGGAGGGGCTGTAACTTTTATGTAGTGGGGGGCAACCTGGGTTCCCTCCCCTTCCAAGAGGGGCTGTTTCATTTCACGTTTTATTGGGATGGTTGGTCTCCTGAAGGCTGAGAGTGAACTGACTCCTATACTTTATTGGGGGGGGGGAGTTGTCTTTGAGCTCCCACATATTGGGTGGAGGGGGCTGGTACCTCCTACATGCCCTAAGTGAAATGATTGATTTGGGTCCCCGGATTTAGCTGGAATGGGAGCGTTTCGGTCTCTCACATATTAGCAAAGAGCACCATGACCCCCTTTGTAAGTGTTGTGTCTTTTCCTACGCAGTGATGTGGGGTGGGGGATGCTATATTTTCCTGCGGGAAATATCCTGCCCCAGATAGGTAAATATAGCCTGTCTATAGTTGGCAAGGCTGTTGTGCTGCGGATCGGTCATGTTAGTTGGGCTAAATGTGGGAGATGGAGCCCGGACAAACCACTTGTGTCCGTACATTGTCCGGGCTTGTATTTCAATTGGAAATTTTTTGAAGTCACGTTTTTCTGGAAAAACCGCATCACTGTTCATAGGGATGCTATTTGGGGGCAAACACTTTCTACATTTGGGGGGGTGGATTTGGTCTGATAGAAAAAGGGGGGCAGCAGTGATCTTCAACATCCCTTCCTAAAGAGCCAGTTTGGTGTCGTGGTTAAGTGCGCGGACTCTAATCTGGGAGAACAGGGTTTGATTCCCCACTCCTCCACTTGCACCTGCTGATGTGTGGGTCAGTCACAAGCTCTGGCACAGCTGTTCCTGAAAGAGCAGTTTGTTCCAGAGTTTTCTCAGCCCCACCCACCTCACAGGGTGTCTGTTGTGGGGAGGGGAAGGGAAAGGAGTTTGTAAGCCGCTCTGAGACTCCAAGTGAAGGGCGGGGTATAAATCCAATCTCTTCTTCTTCTTCTAAAAAGGTAGCAGACTTCAAAAAAGCGCTAGACGCCATGGTTGTTAAAAGCGCTCCCGGTGTTCTACATCTAACTTGTTTTCTTCACAGACTCTGTGGTGACCTCCTGTTTTCACTATGAATGGCCTTCTTTAGGAGAGAAAAGGTGGTCCAGTGTACTTCTAAAGAGAGGCAGCCAAATCTGTAGTACTCTTGTTGTTGCTGGGTGCGTTTTGTCGTTTCCCTTTCGCATGTTAAGTGACTGCATATGTGTATATACGGGGTCACCCATGCAGGAGAGGTTAGGATGAGAAGAGAACAGCACCTTTGTAGTTACCTAACTCCCGATACTGCAATATCTAGCTGAGAATGAGATTATTCCATGTAATGTACACTATCAGGACTGGATTCATTTCTGAGGGTTTGGTTGTTAAGTGTCTCTTTGGATTATGATCTGGTTTAATGCTTTTAGTATGAATATGTTATTTACATTCCTATCACCATATATGTGTTATTACTTCTTTCCTTTGCCTGGTCTTTTTCATGACAATGCATGTATTTCTGCACTTTATTTAATAAATTTTATTATTTATTTTTTTAAAGGAGAGGTTAGGATCCTTGTAAGGAAACTAATCTGGCATGGGATATTGGGGGTCGAACCCCTTCCACAACTCAGAAGGAAGACTATGGTTCTCCCCTCCCCAGCCTTGGTAAAGGGGAAAGTCTTAGTTCTCACGTAGGAGCTCTTTGTGGGAGAACATTTTGATTCTCATATGTGTTATTTCGGTTGTGGTGCTGTGCGTTCCCGTGGAGCTGGGGAGGGCAGCGGTGTTGCACAAAGAACCAAAGCACCCCTATATATTTTATCTGGTGGGGATTGGGTTCCCGCATTCATTGGGTGGACGGAAGTGAAAATAAGGGTGCAGTGTCCACTCCGGTATGCATTTCAAACTCTGATGAAGCTACCTTATAATGAATCAGACCATGGATCCATCAAGGTCAGTACAGTCAACTCAGACTGGCAGCGGCTCTCCAGGGTCTCAGGCAGAGGTCTTTCACGTCACCTCCTGCCTCATCCTTTTAACTGGAGATGCTAGGGATTGAACCTGGGACCTTCCACATGCCAAGGAGATGCTCTACGGCTGAGCCACGGCCCACTCTTCTCATGGGGCTTGGATAGGCACACCCGACTGCGGGAGCCGTAATCCTTCCTGTCTTCAGAAAGAAGGAGAATGTCTTGGCTCCTATGGCCTTCCGAGCGGGGAGGCTGCATCACCCATTTTTACTTGTGGCTTGGGAGGGGCAGGCCCCTTTACTCTGCCCCCCCAAAACAAAAGCTTGGTAGCCACATATGGGGGTGGGAGTCTATTTTGGGGTGTGGAGTGCCTTGGCCTCTTGCATACGGCGGGCTATTTGTGGGGTGCCTTTTTTGGACAGGAGAAGGCTCGGTCTCTCCCAAAAGGGTCGGCAAGGGAGCTGAGCTCAAGCGGCTTCCGTGCATCAGTGCACAGATGCACTAATAATAATAGCTTTCGTGTAGCCTTTGCAGAGTGTTCAGACCACTTTTATATTAATTGTATAATCCCACAATGTAGGGCAGTGATCATCTCTCGCTACAGCTCGGGAGGGGAGTTCACTCAAGGCTGCCGGGGCTTGCCTAGTCAGCTCATGGCGGAGATGAGGTTTGAACCACCGCGGAACTTGGCATCCTTGCGTCGGCTTGCTTCTCCCCCCTCCTCATATCAGTTGCTTGTTTCTGTGTTGTGCCGTCAAGATGCTTCCGACTTATGGTGACCCTATGAATTAATGATTTCCAAAAGGTCCTGTCGTTAACAGCCTTGCTCTGGTCTTGCAAACCAAGGGCCGTGGCTTCCTTCCTAGATCTCACGTCCAGTGTTCCCTCTAAGCTGAGTTAGTGTGAGCTAGCTCTGTTTTTTAGCCTCCGGCTCACACATTTTTGTCTTGGGTCAGGAAGGAGGGCTCCAGAGCAAACTAATTTATGCAGTAGTCCAATCGCTCACTCACAACTTTAAAGCCAGTGGCTCACAAAGTGGAATTTTTGCTCACAGGACTCCACAGCTTAGAGGGAGCATTGGTTGGGACTTCCTCTTTTCCTACTGCCTTCAATTTTTCCTAGCACTGTTGTCTTTCCCGGTGACTCTTGTCTTCTCGTAATATAATCAAGTCACAATGGCCTCAGTTTAGTCATCTTCGCTTCTA